TCCGGCTACTTGGAAGGCTGAGGAGGAAGGATCGCCGGAGCCCAGCAGGTCGAGGCTGCGGTGGCCTGGAACGGCCACTGCACTCCAATCTGGGCAACAGAGTGAGACTCCAACTCAAAAAAAAAAAAAAAGAAAAGAAAACAGAGCACAATGTCCACTGATTATGGAGACAATATCTATTTCCCTAAATATTATAACAAACGAGATTGTTAAATTTTAGTGTGCATGGGAATCAACTGGACATCTTGTTAAAATGCATATTCTGATTCCATTGCTCGGGAATAGAACTTGAGATCTTGCATTTCTAACAAGTTCCCAGATGATGCTGATTGCTGCTGGTCTGCAGATGACACTTTGAGTACCCAGGCTACACAAGTTTGATTCCAAGAGAAAAAATATCTAGAAGGAACAAAGTATTGTTTGTAAAATGAAGACAATACTCTCCTCATAGGATTGGTATAAAGATAAAATGAAATATATTAAAAATGTTAGAATTCCACCAATGAAAATATCCCACAATCAGTAGTATCATTATTGGTTTACTGTAGGATTGCACATTACTCAAATATATATGTACACGTATACATATGTATATACATACACACTGCATTTGCTTATTTTATTTATATTTTAACTGCATTTAGGTTGCATTAGATGCTAGTACCGAAAGAAATCCTGCCAATACTTTTGTGATAGTAACTGGCTAATTTATTGATGTGATTTATTTACTTATTGTTAAAATACAAAAGTAATATATTCTGACAGGAAAAAAATCAATCGTCTCAGAAGCCTATACATTTAAAAGGGAAAGTTCTCCACTTCAACCTTCCACTCCTCAGTCCCTGAGCTAATAATTTAAAAACTTAATATACTTTAAAATAGTTTTCTATTTTTACATACATACATCTGAGGTTTTTCTACAGGAAATGGATTCATTCCATATCACTAAAACAAAACTTTTATTTTCTTCAAAAATACATCACAGACATGTTTTCATGTTAGTACACGGAAATTCATTTCTTTCTTTTCCATGATTGCATATCATTTTGAAATTTACCATAACTTATTTACCCATTCTCTATTGCTGTGCTTTTAGATTGTCTTCAAGTATTTGCTATTACAAATAATACTGTGATTAACCTTCTCATACACATATATCTGCATTGTTGTATGAATACAGCTGTAATATAGCTCCTGAAAGTGAAACTGTTGAAGAATATGCATCATCTAAATTTTGTGACCTGTCAACTTGCCTTTCAAAGACTTCTAGCACTGGTCCATGAGCCTGCCCACTTATGCCCACACCATAAAATGGATATTTGCAAACACTAGCTTGATAATTTGACAGGAAAAGGGGAAATCCTTTTATTATTTTAATTGCATTTCCTTGATCTCTAATGGGACTTGCCATCTTTTAAGATGCTATTCGCCATTTTGATTTTTTCTGTGAATTGTCTTTTCACTTGCTACTTTTTTCTACTGGGTTATCTCCCCCTCCCTTTTGATAGTTGCCCTCTGTATATCAGACATTAATTATATTTGGAATACATACATTATATATTTTATTATGTATGACAAAATTTTGTTGGCTTGTTGAACTTTAAAATTTTATGGCATACAAAAATTGTTTTAATTTTTATTCAGTCAAGTATTTCTCTTCTGGGTTCTTGATTTGTGCTTTCTTTCTTAGGAAGCTTTCTCTATCCCCAAATAATACTCTCCTATATTTTTTTCTAGTAATCTCATTGTTTTAATTTTAATGTTTATATCTTTAATTATAATGCAAGGGAGGCGTTCAAAATGTTTTAAAAATATATACCTATATGAGATTTTTCCCACTGGTTTTATGGTTAACACTATATTATCACTGCTACCAGAAAGGGCCACAGAAGCATATTATAAAAGTATCTGGATAATCTAAATAGCACATAGGTCAGTCCTAGCCTTTTCTATGTGTAACTTTTATTCAACCAATTTTCATATTGACACCGCAAATCAACTTTCATAAATCATTTAACCATCAAACATTATTGCAAATTAATATTCCGAATTATTACAAGTTTATTCTACCTATATGCAAACCACTTGTAGAGCACTGATTCAGTACTACAAGAGTAAAAAAAAGAGCAAAAACCTCTCTTCATTTAGGTCTCTTCTTAAAGCTCATCTCCTTAATGGGATCTTCCATGACCATCCTATCAGACTCCAGCTTCCCTTGTCCTTTTGCCCAATTTTACTTTTCATAGTTCTTACTACTACTAGAAAAATTACATCATACACTTTTTCATTACATCTCACCAAGAAAGCAGGAACTTTATCTTGTTATACTATATATCCAGCATCCAGAAAAACCCAAATATAGGTTGAATAAATCTTCAAATAGTTTATAAACTGTTAACATAATCAAGTCAGAAACAAAAAGTGCCAGTATGTTGGAAGTGCTGAATCTTTACCATGGTAGTCATTGAGTTTATCCAGTTAACAATGTATTAAAGACAAGAACTAAATAACATCCATGTTTGACTGATCTAGGACTTCATATGACTTTAAAAACAATAATCTTACTCTAAAATCGAATTATCCAGTTTTTCCATTTTAGGCATGTAGGCATGGAGAGGTTGAATTTTTTTTGCATTCTAGTGTATAGTCACTGGATGTTGTGGCAGGTCCCTCACTCCTCGAACACACTACTACATGTTCTAACATCAATTGTTCCAGCAGTGGACTTCATGACTGGTGCACTGGTAGCAGTTCCACTGGTGGACCAGTGCTGTATGTTTTGCTAGGAGTTATTCTTCTGAAGACTCAAATTTGACACCACTCCTCCAAACTCGCCAATGACTTCAAGAAACTAGATAGTTTCAAAATATCCAATATTAATTCACATTCCTCTTCAAATAGTGGTTTGTTTCCTGCAAGTAAGTCATCCCTGATATGAAAATGAAAATGTATATACTACCAAGGTTAAAAGCAATATAAGTTACATAAAGCTATTTCTGGGTATGGGAAGGGTATGTCAGACTAACACAAAAAAGCCTATGTGTACATATGGGGAAAAAGGATCACTAAATACACCAAAATGTTAATAAGTTCATCCATGTTGGTAGAACTAGGGGTAATTAAAATTTTTCTTTTGTCTGTTTTCTCTAAACGTTTGTAAGACAATATCCTAAAAGACCCCCTACATATCTCCCCCAAAATCTTCCTACATAAATATATATATAAATTTATCTTGAACTGTTATAGGCAACTAGGATTAACAATCCTGCATGTTACACCATAATACACACAGAAGTATGTATCATGGTCCTAAACAGGGGAGCAAGTCCCCATGGTCACGATTCCAGAACAAATATTTGTCTATTCTAGTGGCACAGTTGAGCTGACTGCTCTGTTAGAAAAAGGGCAGTTATCTTGGGAATTGAACATATGAGGTGAGACTAGCCAGTGCCACAGCTGTTGGCAAGCTTTGTTTGTTACAGCAAAAGTAAATCCCTTAGAATTGGCCAGTTATTAAAGGCATAAAATAGAATGGAAGTGCCTTCACCTACTCAATCATTAAATGAGATTTTAGAAAGGGCAAACCGTGAAATGAGCAAGACTATTTTAAACACACTCCTTTAAAAAAAACTTTCCACATAACTAACATTATTCATTCCTGGGTTGCTCTTTATTTCTCTATTTTCTCTATCCACTAGTTTCATGACTTAGTGTCAAACCAGCAATATACAGGACCCAGACAAAAACAAGTCACACTTCTTTATTCACAGGCGGAAGTAATCATTAAGTATCACAATGCAATTGCTATCATCAGATACAGACAAATCATTCCTAAGCTATGGACATTCCTATCAAGTTTTTTTAGAATTAGATTAATAAGAAAAGTCCTTATGCCTATTAATGTAGTAGTCTGTTGTTACATGTCATTTCATACTGGTTACTTTTGTTAACAGTGTCTTTAAATGACAACTTTTTAGTTTTGATGAACTCTAATTTTGAGTCCTTTATGGTTATTGCTTTCTGTAACCTGAGAAGCCTTTAATTTACCCCGAGTCACAAAGTTATCCCCCATGTTTTCTGCTAAAAGGTTTCATACTTTTAAACGATAACATTTAGGTCTATGATCATCTTAAATTCATTTTTTGTGAGATAGGGGGTAATTGTTTGTTTTTCCCATAAGAATATTCAGCTGTTCCAGTTCCATTTGTTGAAAAGATTTCCATCTGTAATGAATTGCTTTGCCACCTTTGTAAAAAATCGAATGATCGCATAAAGGTCGATCTGTTTTTAGACTCTCTCCTCTATTCCAATTTGTCAATTCTTATGCCACTATCACTTTGTATTGGTTACAGAATACAACTTACTACAATAATCCTTGTAATGCTTTACAAAATTTAAGCCTCAGCAGAGGAGGATTACATAAATTATGCTGAAATAAATGAATGGGATCAAGATGACCCTTCTTTATGAAACCATTTTTTAAAATTCTATCATAGCTTTGAAAATTGAAAACACCCCATAATTATCACTGTATTAAGAGTTAAATGTATTCACCCACAAATAACTGAAAAGCTACATAGTCTTCTTTATATTACTGCCAAATGAAATTATGTATAAAAATATTTAATTAATTTTTCTATTCAATTTTCCATCAGGTTTTTCGCATTAATTCTAAGTCATTTAATAATGCCACAATTACTAAGCTTAAACACAATCTTTAAAAATTTATGTGTTGAAGATCCAAGATGGGCACACACTCCCTAATAAACTATGCTAAGTTCATAGAAAATAATATGTTGAAAAGTCATGTACCAACTTCAGAAATGCGCTTGATAAAAAAAAAGTATATTATTCCCTTTATAAAAATAAGTTATATAAAATATCTTTTAAAGTATAACATGGAAAAGAAGACTAGGGGCAAGAATACAGTATTATTTTATAAAATAAAAACCAAAGCAACTCCCCAAAACAATAAGAAAAAAACCACTGTAAGCAAATTGTACATGGTTCTTGGAAACTGTGAGCTGTACTAATTTTATTCAAATTGGCATAAAAGGATCCCCCATCACCACCTTCCCCCATCATCTTTTTTTTAAGGAAATAGTATGAAATGTCAAACCTCCAATATAAATGTTATATGCAGCTTAACAGCTTGAAAAAATATTAACAGATTCAGAGTAAAAACAACACTTTTTAAGATTTGTACTTTGTTCTCTACCAGAAATTTTGCTGTGAAGCATAATACTTAGACCTTCCAGAATTAATCTACAAGACATCAATGAATAACCCCAAACACTTGAAGAAAATTTGCTAAAATAAAACTGGGATGTTTATTACCTTTTCTACTGACAGCAGTAAAAATCACTAAAAATTATACATTTGTCCTTTTGAAATTATCAGCAATAAAATCATACTTTTCTAAATAATTGGTATACCTGATAAAATTCAGTTTTAAAATCCTCAAAACATTTAGATATCAAAGATAGAAATATTGATTTGTTTTCCATTAATGATGCAAAGAAACAGGAGATCCAGTTTAATCAACATCTGACATTTGTAAATTTTAAGTATTTAACTGGATTAAAAGAACAAGAGGTTAGGACTGTTACAGGAAAGAAATATCATTTGTGCATTTTCTATGTTTGTTACAGTAGTTATATATCCACAGAACTAACAGATCTCAGATCCAAGGTCAAGTAATGGAATTTGGGCAAGCATTCTTAACATCACTTTTATTTAATACGCACTACATGCACATGATGCAGGTAGGGAAAAAGTTTATGAATTCATGCATTAAAGACAAGACAGGCTGTTTCTATTGCCAAACGTGCACTGAGCCAATTAGGATGGTGCTCAAAGTTCTTTATACTTAATGGTTTCCATGAAAATAAGCGCATAAGCAGAAATGTGTACACATCTCAAAGCATCCTTTTTCATTTGGTTTCCTGAGCTTTCTTTGCATTCTGTTTTTCTTTTGCCTAAAAATTAAAGACAGTACGTTACAAAGTCTTAAAAGTCTGTTTTAGATCATATTAAAATAAAATGTGCCTAAGAGGGCATTCTCAAGCTAAAAGGCTTACAATGCACTGTTTACAAGATTTCTAGAGCATTCTATTTTATAACTTGTAGCAATCTACTCCTGGATAATTATATACTTATTTTTGGCCGTATATAAGAAGGGATCATGTTTGGCTTGCAGTTCTTTCTTATCTGAAGTTGAATTGTATTATTGTCATTGTTGTATTAATAATTTTAAAATAATTATTCCTTCCATAAAGTCAAACTCATTCGTATTTCAAAATGATATATATACAAACATATTTGTCTATTTTTAATTCACAATATAGGAAAAACTGTTAGTTTCTGCATACTTGAACAAATTAGTTTAACATAACAGTTTAAGTGAGTTTAACATAATGTCACTAAAGGACTATGTATTTCTGATGTCAATAAACCGTACCTATATGACCTGAAAAATGTTTTCAGACATTATTTCAATTGATCCTCATAACAATTATATAACTTGAACATAATAATTGTTTTATTCTTTAGCAGATGAAGAAGTCAGAGTTTATAGACACTATCAACTTGACAAAAGTCACACAACTACTATATAGTAAATCCTCAATAAAGGCCAAAGACACGTGTTCTACAACGTTGCTTCTCAGTGTACATACCAATGATCTATGGACCCTGTTATTTATTATAAAATGCAGACTGATTCAATAAAATGCCTGAGGTTCTGCATTTCTAACAAACTTTCAAGTGATGGCAAATTCTGCTGGTTCAGATGACTTTTACTTATTTATTTACAGAAGGCAGGAGTTGATTAAGACAGAAAAGTTCCCAAGCAGAAGGAGACCCAAAAGAGGGTCGCCCACTTTTAAAAGCAAGATTTTAGAGTTGTACTACAATACAGTGCTCTTTCCACTGTTCCACTTGAATAAGGAGCCAAGAAATTAGACTTTTACTATTATATATTTAAAAAATAACTTCCTTAGATAAAAAAAACAGGAGGATACAGTCTTTTTATAATAATGTATTAGGTGGCATGATTATTATACAACAGTATGATAAAATTGAGTGCTATACCTTAGAATTACTATATTGAGAGCAAAAAGGTTATCTGTCCCATATAAAAAGCCTGCTTCAGTATTTTTAGCTAACAAGCATAATTTGTAATTTGGCATGTATATTATATTTCATACAAAGTTTTCTGTTCTCAAATAATAAAAATACGATTCTATTTTAGGCATAATTTAAAATAAAATATGTAATTATTTCCTTATTAATCTCTGAATATACTTAACAGAATATTAACAAGAAATTAATTTACTGGTTTATGATGTGAACTTTACAACATAATTAAATGAGCAAAGACATAATGCAACGAGTGTCCATACATTTACTAAACTGTATAACTCAATAAAATTAAGGAATAGGCAAAGTCAGTTAAAAACAATTACTACCATTAATTGACCACTTATCATAAACTTTACAGATGTGATCTCATTTAATTCTGAAGGATGTGAGATAGGTATGAGTATTTACAGATGAGAAATGGAGGCTATAAGCAAGCAAATAATTGCCTAAAAGTACCAGCTAATAAGTATCATATCTGAGATTTAAACTCCAAGCCTGTATTTTGTTCTGCCTTTGTTAAAAAGTAAAAAATACTATCACATTTCTAAATACCATGGAAAAAATATACACTGTCAAAAATACATTCCTACTATACAGTGTGCCATCGCTATATTAAAAATTACTGATTCAAATCAGATAATTTTATAATATATGAATGTCTATATTACTGTGATTAGCTTTAACTAGTCTCCTACCTTATTTATGTAAGTGTTAGAAAAAGTAAATTCTGAAGTTTAGTTACTTATTACCAATTGAATCATAACATCTTAGCAAAATGTGGACAAAATTCAATGCAGTAAAGTTGCTTTGAATCCCCCACTGCAATTGACTATGATTTTACATTATAATAGGTTACTGGTAGTTTTTAAAAACTTGGGCCAGTCATGGTGGCTCATGCCTATAATCCCAGCACTTTGGGAGAAAGAAGCAAGAGAACTGCCGGAGTCCAGGGGTTAGAGACCAGACTGGACAACTTGGTGAGACCTCGATGCTACAATAAATCAAAAAATTAGCCAGGCATGGTTCCGGCTACTTGGAAGGCTGAGGTAGAAGGATCACCTGAGCTCAGCAGGTCAATGCTGCAGTGGCATGAACATGCCATGCCACTGCACTCCAGTCTGGGCAATAGAGTGAGACTCCAACTCAAAAAACAAAAAATAAAAATAAATAAAATAAAATAAAAATTGGGATAGACAATTATTGAGAATTATATATAAAGATTAGATAAAAACTTTTAAAGAATCATCAGTATACCTGAGTAAACAGAAGTCTCACAAATGGAATCTTAATCTAGCTAATTTTAGTTTATATTTTAAGAAACAGATTTGGTATATAAGAATTTTATAACTATATATACCTTTAGGTTCCTATGTAATGTATATTCAACGACCTCATTAGATAAGGATAGAAGTCTCATATAACAAAAACATTTATAATATGAATCCTAGCTAAGTTCATTAGAGCTGTATACCCAGGGGAGAATCAAAGTCTTCACCCTTTATTATTCTGTAAAATGAAGATTTTATTTAGCTCAAATACTTTTATGCCATCTCAGGCTGTAGACAACTGCCTCAGTGACTCAAAAAACTGATCCCAGAGAGTCTTGGCATTTAACACCACTGCATAGAGCAGCCATATTTTTCCTGTTTGGTTTCTTCCACCCCTTCTAACACCTTGTTTTCTAATCCTATTTTCCCTAAAACAAAGCAAAGCAAGCAGAACAACAACACAACAAACAAAAAACCCACCATTCCAATTTATCTATTTCTGAGTTCCCTGGGTAATTTTTCTTAGAAGTATTACTATACAGTAATTAACTATCACTAGTAAATCCTTTATACAATTTTAAAATCTAATCAATTTATTCTAAGAGTTTTTCAACCTACTTTATTTTTAACATCTGCATTTATCTGCAGAAAGTGATGTTTCAATATGGTATAATAATTTTTTCCCAAAGTAAGAAACAAAAATATATTTGTGCTAAGGACACTGATGTATTAATGCAGATTAAGCATTTAATTACAACTACAGATTTAAAATTTTGTGAATATGAAATTTTAAGTGCCTATAAAGCTATTTAGAAACTATCTCATGCTTGTCCAATATCTCTAGCATGATTTTATTTTCACACTTAATAGAATAACACTATTTAGCAGTTCTGTCTTTGTTTATTTCTTCCTTTCCAAACTGTATCATGAGTTGCTTAAGAGAAAAGAATATGTCTTAATTATGTGTACATTGTTAGACTGTAACAGAGTGCCGGAACATAGATAAATGTTTGATGAAAAATTTTTTAAATTTCAAAAATTCCACTCAAATGAGGAGCCTGAATTTCCTTTAGAACCTAGGGGAATAATTGATGTTGCATATATACAAGAAATAAATGCATCTCAATATTGCTTATGGAATATTAATTAAGGAACGATTAAGAGAAATAAGCAAAACAGAAGGTCAATAACAACCTGCCTTAAGAAAATTAATACAAACACAACAGATTTCGTGTTCCACTCACATCAGGTATTCATATACTGCCACCTTGTGTCCAAAATAATGTGAACTAAGGAACAATGGGTCTAATGCTAAGCTGAAAAATTCTTGTTCTTTATGCTCTCAAAGGACACCAAAGCATGAAATTTATGAAAAATTGTGTATTTATTCTTATATGTTTAAACTTCATTCACCTTCAAAGTACTCTGTTTGATGCAACACACCTACTGAGATACTTTTTCCAGTGCTCAAAACAATTTTTGAACTCATCGATTTTGATGACTTTTAGTGCTTCTGCAGTTTTGTTTCACCTCTTATATGGTTAAAATGTTTCCCTTTAAGGACTTTTTTTCATTCAGGAAAAAAAAAAAAGTCGCTTGGGGTGAGATAAAGTGGCATGGAGTAATGTCATTTTGGGTGAAAAATTGCTGAGCACTCAGTGCAGTGCGGGCAGACGCCCTTGTAAATCTGAAGCCCAACGCATCTTCTCACAAATAACACTAGCTGGTACACTGATGCCAAAGGGTACCTAAATACTTACTTAGTGGGGGAAGCCTGTACTATAAGAGGCCCACCCTCCAAAAAACAATTCCTGTTTTTTGGGGGGATTCCCCCCTCATATCATCAATATCATCATTAAAACTAATTTGAACATACAAAAAATATATTCGAGGACCAATTTTAAAGCAAAGTTTATACATGAAAAATTTATCTAAGAGTGCCTAGTTGCATTTATCTATACTTAAAATCTGATATATCTCATGATTTAGCACATGATTTAACACTGATTTACAATATTATAGAGTTGTTTTGCTTAATATTATTAAGAGAAATATCTCATAGTATTTCATATAAAAAACACTATGTCTAGGTATTCTTGTTAACCAAAACAATTTTGAGAACCATGGGACCCTAATTGTATTTTGTTGCTTTTTTGTTTTGTTTTTGTTTTCCTTTGAGAAGAGGTCTTATTCTGTCACCCAGGCTGGAGTACAGTAGCACAATCACAGCTTGAACTCCTGGGCTCAGGTGATCCTCCTGCCTCAGCTTCCCAAGGAACTACGACTATAGGCACACACACCACCACACCCAGATATCTGCTTGTTAAATTTTTTGCCTTCTCATTATGTTGCCCAGGCTGGTCTTGAACTTCTGGCCTTAAGTGATCCTCCCACCTTGGACTCCCAAAGTGCTGGGACCACAGGTGTGAGCCATCACACCCCACTGGACCTTAACTGTTAATCTAAAAATTTAAAAATCTGTTTCCCTTTTTGGGATACCCTGAGATGCATGAATAGAAAAAAAAAAATCTATGGTGAAAAAGAAAAAATTTAGCAGTTTTCTGCAATAATTTTTGCATTTAATGCTAAAAGTTGAGTCATGTGTTTCAGCCAATAAGTATACACAAAAACTTATTAACACATATCTCATATGATTTAGAATTTGTAATATGAAACAGCTTGGTTGAATTCTATCTTTGCTTTGTAAACCTTAAAATTAATAAGAAAATCATACCTACCATTTATTCTGGTCTTTAAGTTAATGGTCCAAAATTTTATTTGCCTAGTAGTATCTTCTCAAAGTGTTTCTCAAAATGTGGTACACAGACCAGTTGCATTAGAATCACTTGGGGACTTATTAAACATTCCTTCCCCTTTATCAGAATATCTGGGGAGGGGCCAGGTAACATGTATTTTAAAGAGCATCCAGTGATAATCACTTTCAGAAACACTGATTTACAGTATAAACCTAAAAACAATTTAACTACATTTCATTTATTCAACAAATATTTTAAGTTCTTTATATTAAAAAAAATCATAGAAATCAGAATTTTTTATTAACTTACACTAGTTTTCCCTCAGTGGAAAGAATACTAGATTAGGAATAAGAAACCTAAATCCTACTCTAGGGTACTTTTTTTACCCCCATTAATGTCCATACTAGTTCTAAATTCTATTATAACAACTCAAAGTTATACTAAATTAAATAGAAAAAAAGTTAGACGTGGTGGTTCACGCCTGTAATCCCAGCACTTAGGTAGGTGGAGGCAAGAGAATTGCCTAAGCCCAGGAGCTTGAGAACAGCCTGGGAATCTTGGAGAGACCTCATCTATACAGTAAATAAAAAAATTAGCTGGGCATGGTAGCTCATGGCGAGGGATTACATGAGTACAGCAGGTGGAGGCTGCGGTAGCTGTGATCACAGCACTGTAGCTGGGTGACATGGTGAGATTCCAACTCAGAAAAAAAACTCAAAACCATTATTTCATTTATTGGCATTAAAAACCTGTTTTTGCTTAAAGAAAGAAAAATGTACTAAATTTTCTCTTAATACAGCACAATCTGAGTTCCTGACACTAAGAATTCTGGAAGGCTAAAGCAGTGGTATAATTATTTTTAATTTACATTCTCAGTTTAATTAATTCTTACTGAATATAAAACAAGAGGCAAGAGTGAAACAATAAAAATTTTAAAGCTTCAACAAATTTCACCTCTACTTATGTCCCCCCAAAAAATGTTTTAATATTTTTGGAGAATCTAATTTAAGCATCCCAATAAAATACTTACCTTTTCTACTAGTGGTATTAGCTGCTGGTGTTCTGCTAAAGTCTTTAACAATTCCATGATGAAAGGCAGATAATTATGTTTCCTTCTAATATTCTCAATCTGAAAATAAAACAGATATCAAACCACCCGACCTACATTTCTGCTAATTTTTTGAAATGTTATTTTTTGCATCCAATTCAAAATAGACATGGGATAAAATCCTCCATTCTCATGATAAAAAATATTAGAAATAAGGATAGTCCATTCCCACTGAGAATAAAGATTAATACAATAAAACACGAGGAGAGTTTCTTGTACCCTTGGCTTAGCAATTAATAGAGGCTTTCAAAAGTCCAATCTAAGATTATTTATGAAAATGTAATTTACAAAAGCAATTTAGGAAGGCCTACATGAGAAATTAACACTCGTGCAACTATAGCTGTGCAAATAATCAGGCAAAGTCTAATGAAACCAACTTTATTTTGTGATCAAGCACAATCCTCCTTCTTTGAGATTATTTTTGATCAAAAGCGGGATAGACTGCTGGAAAAAATGTATACTTCAGTGGAAAACTATGCATTGCCTAGAGAACATCCTCCCAAATTATGTGATTTTTAGCTTTCCTTGCCATTTTGTTATTATGTATTGTGCCTGGTAGAGGTTTAATTAACTGTCCTTCTTCCATAAAGTTTTTATCTTTTGTATTCATGTCAATGTTTCTTTACTTCATGTAAATTTGAGCTTCTTTGGCATCTTTGGACTAGTTATGACATTTTTAAATGTACATTCCATAAATTAAATTAAATCTGAACATGTGTTTATTTTATAGTAGCATGAGAATGATTTTATCCTTTTTTTAAACAAAGCATTCCAAAACAATGAAACAGGCAAAGATTCTAAAAACTTAGTTTGTGTTTTATTTGGGGCAGATATTAAAAGTTTGCTAATTACATAATAACTTTGCATAAGAATATATAAACGATGGGTACTCTGTCTTTTTAAAGTATGTGAAATGGAAAAATAACTGTTAAAGTTATTAACTCTTACTTCCCTGTCTCTATGAACATGGCCCTTCCTTTTTCCTCTGGAGTACTCAAGGTTGCATGTCCCTGCCACTTCCACCTGAAGAAATCTTACTAGTTCAAGGGCCCATTTATTTTATTTAACAATCATTTGTTGCTGTTAAGTATGATGCAAAGTACTATGCTAACACTGTGGTAAAAACCAAAAAGAACAGTTTCTGTCTTCAACTGCGCTTCAAATGAAAAACAATCTTTTTACTACTGTAACACATGACAAATGACATAAGTTCCACACTCAAAGTCATTCAAAATTCATAGTCTCCTCCACTCTTTACTTCTCTGAAAAAGTTTATCAGACAGATTGCAAGTGAAGGAGAATGACATCATTAAAGATAACCTTGCTTTTATATTTGACTCTGAATTACATAACTGCTTGATATAATTAAACAAAATTAAATCTGATTTTTTTAACCCTAAAAATCTTGAAAGCAAAATAAAAAGTTTTAAATTAGTTTAAAATATAGTAATTTGATTGTATATCCAAAATGAGATATATCATAAGAAATAAAACAAAATTATGAAAAAACTTTCCAATTATTATTAATACTATTGGTACTATTATTCTGGACCTTTTACATACATACACATACATTATATACTATATATACACATGGCATAAAGCAAATACTTAATTACGTTAATGTTGGGAACTAAGATTTTCAGCTTAATAGAAGAAATGCAAATTCTTAGCTTCAAGTATAAAGTCCTCTAATCCTAAATTTGAGAATTAATACGAATTCACAATGTATTTTCTCTTTAAAAAAAAAAACAAAAACTAAATTTCTTAGCACTGACGATGCCTAGAAAAAATGATCAATCAGTAGCACTGAGTACCCTGAGCACCCAGATGGTGGTTTCTAGGTACCATTTTTCCACCAAGGGAACACAGGGTTTCTAGAAAAAATGGTTGATTTCACATTTGAAGCAAGAGATGTACAAGATAAGTCTGAAACATCTTATACTAGAAAGCAAGGAGGCTATCAAAGACAGGAGACTGAAGTGGCTCTCAATGGCCAAAGATGGAATAATTTGAGCACCAATAAGAACAATAACTACATTGAATTGAAACATCAAGTTTGTTCAAATTCTGTTCCCAATAATACTTTACAAAAACAACAAAAAAAAGGCCAGGCCTAGTGGCTCACACCTGCAATCCCAGCACTTTGGGAGGCTGAGGAGAGAGACTGCTTGAGCCCAGAAGTTTGAGACAAGCCTGGGCAACACAGCAAGACCTCATCTCTACAAAACTAAAAAACTAGTCAGTAATGGTGATGCGTGCCTATAGTACCAGCTACTTGAGAGGCTGAGATGGAAGGATCACCTGAGTCCAGCAGGTCATGGCTGTGGTGAGAGCCATGATTGTGCCACTGCTCTCCAGCCTGGGTGACAATGAGATTTCAACTCAAAGAAAAACAAAATAAAAAAGAAATAAACCTCACAACTTATCTTTTTGAGGGTGCCAGAAAATCAACACATTATTCTGAAAGCTGGTAAATGACGGGAAGGAAAACAGTCAATATATCTTCATCTCAAAATATATTGCTGTATATTAAAACATTAAAGGAACATGATTTTAAAGGAACATGATTTTTAAGCCATACCTTGTACCTTTTTAACTTCTGTACTTCCTCTTCAATAAGCATCTGATTTTTGGCAACTTCTGATTGAATAGCACTTAACATACTATTACCCTGATCTGTATCCATGGGTTCCTCCTTAGGGGAAAGAAAATAAATAGCATACCCTAATAACTGAGGCTTAAGTCCACAATTTTTTAATAAACATAGTATATTATTTTAAAATTTCTACTTTCAATATTGGCAACAGAATACCAGCCTAATAGCAGCAATATTGAAGGATAAAAGTCTATCTAAATAGTATCTTCCATATTTCTATGTTCTATAACACATATAAATTTTCATCTAAAAACAACTTATACTATAACACCTATTGCTTCAATCTCCTATTAAGTTATAAAAAATTTGCTTGAATATACTCTTAAGAAGTAGTAATCAAAGGATTGTAAAAAAAGATTTTATCTACTAAATCTCTTCTCTAATCATATTTACTATAGAAAGATATTCAATAGTAAAGACTAGTAAAGATTACAGTGAATCTAAACATACCCAATTAACACTTTGAGAAATATGAGGACCCCAAAAAAACAGAATTGTTTTTTAGAGGGCGAGTCCCTTGCAGTACAGGCTTCCCCTGCTAGGTAAGTGTTTTGGGAACTGATAGCGTTGTTGTGAAAGGCTATGTGTGGCTTCAGTGAATTTTTTCTGCATATTCTTTCAACTCGTTTGCCCATGTCATGATGGGTGACTTATGAGCACAACTGCCTATACTGCACTGAATGTTCAGTAGTTTTGGACTGAAAATGGCATGACCTCTGTGCCCCACCCTCCCTATTTACCCGATCTCACCACCAGCGACTTTATTTTTGTTTCCCTAACGAAAAAAGTCTAAAGGGAAACATTTTGCTGATGTGAAACAGGTGAAACAAACAAAAAAAAAAAGCAGAAGTACTAAAAGGCATCAAAACTGACAAGTTCAAAAACTGTTCTGAACAGTAGAAAAATCAACTCAGGTGACTTGACTGCATCAAATGCAGAGCACTTTGAAGCTGACTGAAGTTTAAACATGTAAGAATAAATACATAATTTTTAATAAATAAATTCCAGAAGTTGGACGTGGAGGCTCACATCTGTAATCCCAGCACTTTGGGAGGCTGAGGTGAGAGGACTGCCTGAACCCAGGAGTTCAAGACCAGCCTGGGCAACTTGGCGAGACCTCGTTTCTACAATAAATCCACAAAGTACAGATCATGGTGACACATGCCTGTAGTTCCAGCTACTTGGAAGACTGAGATGGAAGGATCACCTGAGCTCAGAAGGTCAAGGCTGTGGTAGCCATGAGTGTGGCACTGCACTCCAGCTAGGCAACAGAGAGACTCCAACTCAAAAGAAAAAAAAATTCCACGCTTTTTTTTGGGTCCCACCTTGTATATTCAAACTTGTCTAACTGTGTAATGCAATCATAGTAAATAGTTAAAATAGTTAATTACCAACACTTATTTAGCATTTACCATTTGTTAGTTATTACTTGAAGTAATTTACATGTAGTATCTCACTTAATCCTCATAACAATCTTATACGGTTAGTTTTATTATCCCCATGCTTTATGAAGAAACTGAGGCACAAAGAAATATGCTCAGATTCATACATCTACTAAGTAGCAAAGCCAGAAACTGAATCTAGGCAGCCTGAATCTAGAGTGCATTCTCTTAACTTCTACTCAGCACACTTTATTAAATCTGTATTGTTTTAAAAAGTAAATACTTCCTCTGAGAGAATAACTAGGCTAGAATTTTGTACTTAAAAAACCTGGCCACAAACCTCTGCAAGTTGTCTTTGTAACTCTGCTATTTTCTGTTCATATATCATTTTTCTGTCAGACACAATGGCCATTAAGTTAAACCGAATTTCACCTTCACTGTACCTAGAAGAAAGTTATTTTAAAGTTGATAATGTAATAAAGAACTGTAAAACTATTACTAATAAGATAACCCACTATGATGACCCCATGATTCTCTAGGATTAATAAAAATCAGTTAGCTAGCAATAAAAGAACTTTTAAAAAGCTTTCATATAGGAAACTGCAACAAAAAATTAGCTAAATTTCATCAATCACAGCATTTAAAAAATGTTCTAAAACAATGTTAGTGCCAGTTAAAACATTTGAAGTTATAACTCTGAAATAACAAGTATTTTCATCAATTTCCCTACCTATGAAATATGACAACTCATTTACTTAAGATCTCAGGAAAAAACAAACTAAAACTTCACATTTGTTGACTCAAATATACTGGCATCTTGGTAATTGACTACATTCTGTACTATACTGTTTTCCTAAGTCATTATGTCATTTCTGTTTTTAAGATATTTTAAAATTGTATTTGTTATTACATACAAATGTATATTTACAAAATATTTTATTTATATAATGTATAATAATATCTTGTAGTAAAATTTCAAAATGCTGTTTTGATTTTCACTACTCTTATACCAGTGAAACACGTCATAGCAAAAGCTTGTTTATACTAGGGGCTGACATTTTAAAAATTATCCGTAACTTATTTAAATGGCATTTAATCATGACAACACTATATAGAAAATGTAAGCCCATTTTTGTTTATCTTCAAGAGTTTTTCATACATAGTTCTATTCACAAATACAACCGAGAAACCTGTGACCCACCCGTATTCACACCAGCCAAATCACAGTAGAGAGACTAGACTTCAGTCTAACCAGGCTGTAATGAGGCATCTTAGGCTGCTATTTTAAAAGGCTGCATCCCCACCAGAAGGTAATGATGACACCCATCTGTGATCTCAGAGAACACAAAACAGGACACCAAAACTGTTACTACCATCCAGTGGCAAAAAAGCATCTCCCACTCCAGGACCAGTGGAGGGCAATGGCAAAGCAGTACTCCTACCTCTCTCAGCCAGAGTAGCAGCAGCAGAAACCTTCTTGGGGCCTCGAATGCCCACCCCTCCCCAGCAATGACAAGAAAACCCCGTTTCACCTCAGGTTGTAATGGAGGCCTAGCAGGGAACCTGGACTTCTACTTCTGCCTGGCAGCAATGAGGCAGCACCCCCAATTTACCCTGTCAGGGCAATGTCCATAGACCAGCTAAAATAGGAGATTTAAATAAGATCCAGAGTATTATTTTCATAAATATAGAGAAGAATATAACAAAATTTATATGGGAAGACAGAACCACATAACTAAAACAATTCTGAACAAAAATGTTCAATACACATTGCTAAAATAACAGTAAAATAAAAGTTAAAAAAATGTTTTTAAAAGCCAGAATATTATGCCAATGAGATTGTCTGAGCATTTACTTTTGTATCCTTTTTTCAATTACTGGCCTTACTGCACTGATCCAGTCATCTTGATTGCATGCACCTAGAAAAGAAATTTTAAAGCCATTAAAACAAATAAGAAAAATCAACTTCAACATTTTTTCAAAAGTTGGTCCAAAATATTATTTTACAAATATTTTAACAAATTCAGGACAGTAAAAATAACTATGTTAAGTTTCAATTCTTATTTTCTTGGTGATGGTTAGGAAGAAAAGTATTATCATACTTTGCATTGCCACATTATTGTGTCAGTTAGTAGGTGCTAAACAAATGTCTGACAAAGTAATGAAAGGGAGTTATCTCATTTAAACTCACAACGTGTGAGATAAAAATAATTACCGTCATTTTACAGATGACAAAAATAAAGGCTAAGAAAAACTAGCCCACATAAGTGGCAAATAATAAGTTAATTTTTATTTGTCTGACTCCCCATAATCACAACTGCAAAATAAAAATCAAAATATACCCATAATGCAAAACTAATTTAACCAAGCTGTTTTAATCCTTTTTCATCAGAAGTTATAGTATAGCCACCAGCTGTCCAGTTTTACTTCCTTTATATTTGATAAAAAATTGCTGACTAGATTGAAGCCAACAGACAAAATGCAGAGAGGAGATCAATAACCAAACTAAGAAACTAGCTTCTACTACAGAGCTGAAAGAACATTCTATTAAATTTTCTATAACAGACATGGAAAAATAAATATTTTAAAATATAGAGGTAGCATGTAAATCTGCATTAAACCGTCAGTTCTATACATGGAAAAAGGTCAGACAAAATGAACCTACATTAAACCATTTAAATTCAAAAGTATAAAGTTTTATGAACAGCATATAATATTAGATTCAACTAATAGATTCAACTGAAACCAGTTTGTTGGACTTCAAACCTAATTTTAAAAAAACGAAGGAAATTTAATGAGGTCAAATAAGGACTTAACATCCTTTTGTGGGCCTATTATTTCAGAACCACAGATTTTACCCTCAACCGTGACAACCATTTATCACTTTGGTTCAAGGTTAGAGACAGGGTGGGATCAGGACAAATCTACCCTTTGGCATAATGCACTATCCAAGAGAAGAGATGTTTGCTATCCCTCATTAACAGGCTAAAAATGACAAGAATACCTTTTGACGTTCTCTAAGTGTAGTTTTTAAAAGTTAAATGGAAAATAAAACATAAATTACCCATGAGGTAAAAAAAAATTTATCTTAGAAAAAAATAAAAAACCTCAACTGAAGTATGGTAGTCAACATGTCCCTTCCTATATGTTAATTTCATGATATACCTCCTCGCAAATACTTTCATGATATTATACCTCTTCACAGTTATTTTCCACTTCACAATTTAATCAGCACTATGGCTAAAATGAAGGAAAATATCTGACCATTTTTTCCTTGTAAAAGGCAAAATACCAGGAACAGGAACTACATTACCTAAATCAATTGGTCCTTCTCTTAATCCATCTAATTCATATAGCCTTCCATTAACAGGAACATAACTGACAAAGTGAAAAGCATCTTCTTCTTTTGCTGATGTCTTTGCATCAAATTCAAACATTTGCTGTCTATAGCAAAGAAAAAATAGTAAGATACAAAGAAGCAAAGAAAGAAACAGTACTTAAATTTAACACAAAATATCTTTACCTGGCAAAACTGTTGTGTACTTGTCGAATCACATCTGAATTGCTCAGTGCCAAACCTTTCATCTAAAATAATTTTCAAAGTAGTCTATTAAAATAAGAACTTTCACAAATAAGACATTTTAGGAATAAGAAGATTGTACTCACAGCTGCATCAAAACTTTGTGAAAATTCTTTAAACTCTGATAATGTCTCTCCTAAATGGACATCTTGATGGGTACAGTTCAATAATACACTTACTATGGCTTGAGTAGCACAAGCATTATTAATTACCTAAAAAATACAAAAGTGAAGATATCAATTTATTTAAAAATAAAAACAGCTTTTAGCTGGTGATAATGACCTCAAAACTATGAATAGTTTTCAAATTTTATTTTATATAGTCTTTGCATAAAGTAACAGCCACGTTTAACTTCCTTTCCAGTCTATTTTCAGAAATGTGCTACAAATCTGGAGTTGAAGAATCTAGGAACAAACAAACTGAATGAACTCATAACATTACCCAAAACCAATCCAGTTAGGGTAACAAGATCAATATTTTTCATCTAAAACATAGCTGATTAAGCCAACAGAACTTGTCCTCCTCTCCTATTCATTTCCTCCTAAACTAATTTCTATCTATCTAAATTCAATTTATATATTAGTACCCAGCACGAGCTTCAACTCACCTATGTGGCTTTTGAGAAATTCTGCAACAATTCATATTACTTTCTACCTTCATTTGAATTCCCCAAAAGGGTATATATTGTACACATATTTTTTCCCTCAATCACAAACAATCTTTACAGTACTGTCATCTAGCAGTTAATTGTTCATTTAACAAATTATGTGGTATATATGCTAACTAGAGAAGACATTTAAGTAGCACTTACAATGTGCCAGGTACTTTTTTTAGGTGCTTCATGTTTAAATCCTCTAAGCAACCTATGAAGGAGGAGTAACATTATTATCCTCAGTTCATCTCTGTGGAAACTGAAGCATAAAAAAGGTTAAGTAACTTGCCCAAGGGCAGATGGCTAAGCAAGAAGCAGATAGTCTGGTTCTAGAATTTGTACACTTAGCCATCATGCCAAGCTGGCTCTGTACATATATGTGGTCTCTCCAACAAGATTATAAAGTATTTGTGGATAATGGTTTCTTCCATACGCCCTATTGCACCTGCAGTGTCAAATCATAAAGCTGAAAAGAACCTCTGATGAGCAGTGTGGACACCAATAAGGTTAATCACAGAGCATAGAGTTGAATAAATTTTTTTAAAATATAGCTTAGTCCTACTACTGTATTATGTTCCTATATTATAATTAAATACAATTTTCTAATTAGTCTTTCCAATAATGCTAATTAGCTTATGATTTTATATTTTAGTAAATCGTCTATTTTTATCCTGTCTTATTTCAAAAGAAAAAAAATTCAGTTATTTTCCCTCTTAAATTCTTATAGTTCTCTACTTTGTGTTGCCAGAGACTTTTAAGGTCTCATGAATATGCACCAGCTCTTGAGTTACTGGCTACAGTATGTTTGAAAAATCCCTTGATACAACTGCATTCTCCACTAGGGAACAAACTCATTCTTAATCTCAATAATTATAACAATATCACCACAGGTCTGCAATTCCTCTTTAAGTATTTTATATTCAAAACTGTCTTATAATTGATAAATTAGGGAAAGTAGCCGTAGATCTAGAATTTAACACGGCTGCTGATTTCTTTGAATATGTATTTTGATCTGAATCACAGTTCTTTAGCAAATTTGGATGAAAAACTTTAACGATTAATGGAAACCTCATAAATGTGGTTGACTGAAACTTTATAATACCTAGTGTTCCCTTATCTTGGGTCAAAATTGCCTGGGGTGAAATTATCTGGAGATAAGGGTGGTAGGAGTAAAATAAGGAGAAGTTAAAATTTATACTTACTCACATTTCTTTCAAAAATATTAAAGCTATAATGTATACCCAATGGTGGACTAGGTGGTAAGGCTACAGCAGACAATACTATCAAAAATTTCTACAATCTAAGGACTTCAAAACTGTAATCTATTACTTTAGGATTTTTATAAGAAGTAGAAAAAACTCTTATAGTTACTGATATTTCTCTTTTGATATCAAACAACAATAATAATAGTGCACTGTTGATAATATATTATAGTTCATTGTGTATGTGTGTGTCAATAGTAATATAATGTTCATATATAACAATACTGCCTCAAATCTTAAAATGAGTTTAGTGCCACCAAGTGGTCATGCAGAGTACAGAATTAGTTAAAAAAAAAAAAAAAAAAGACCTTAAAAAAGTGCAGTCATTCATTCATGAAAATAATATTTACAGAGCATCTACTATGTGCCAGACATTATGATAAATGTTGGATATTCAGTGAACAAAAGAAATGTGGTCCTTATCCTCATGAAACATAAAAATCATCTTATATACACCTAACGAAAGAACTCATGTCACAAAAATACATTATGGTATAAATTATTTAGGTGGTTCCCCATTATTAAAAATCTTAGCTTATCCTGAGTGTTCTACTTTATGTTCTGGCTTTTAATACATTATTAAATAAAGTAGTAGAGTTCAATAATAGAAATTAGGCTACAGAAGGAAGTCCCAAGTAGGACTGGCCCAGAACCTTAAGAGTTTGGTTCGAATTTTTTTGACAGAATATATACTCTTTAGTCTATCAGGGCTCTTCCACTTTCTATTTCTCACACATGACCCAGTTCACACATTAATTCTGCCAACCTCATACTTTGTAACCCTTAGACTAGAGAATAATTTCTTTTCATAATGTATATTAAAGAATGACAGAACCTAGAGAATTAATGTAAAAATAAAGTACCGTCTGTATAAATTATACGTCATATATGGCCTTCTTATTTTGAAAATATAAACAAAAATGACAAACATTTAGCTAGGCTAAGAAAAAAAGAGAAGAGTCAAATAAATAAAATCATAAATTAAAAAAAAAAAAAAACTGAGACCAAAGAAATACAAAGAGACTATCATTAGAGACTATTATGAACAACTCTAAGCCAACAAATTTGAAAATATAAAAATGGATAAATTTTTGGACATATACAACCTACCAAGATTGAACCATGAAAAAAAACAGAAAATCTAACAAATCAATAACAAATAATGAGATAGAAGGAAGCTATATTAAAAAGTCTCTCATTAAAGAAAAGCCAAGAATCTGATCGTTTCACTGCTGAATTCTACCAAACATTTAAAGAATACCAATTTTACCCAAACTCTTCAAAACAAGTGAAGAGCAGGGAATACTTTCAAATTCATTCTACAAGGCCATCATTACCCTGATACCAACATCAAACAAGGACACAACAACAAAAAAAAGAAAAACTACAGGCAAATATCACTGATAAACAGAGAGGCAAAACTCCTAACAAACCAAATGCAACAACACATTAAAAAGGTCATTCATCATGATCAAGTAGAATTTATACCAGGGATGCAAGGATGGTTCAATATATGCAAATCATAAATGCACTATATTACATCAAAAGAACTAAGAGTAAAAACCATGATTATTTCATTACATGCTGAAAAAGCATTTGATACAATTTAACATCCTTCGTGATTAAGAACCCTCAAAACACCGGGAACAGAAGAAATGTACTTCAAAATAATGAAGGGTATATATGACAAACCCACAGCTAACATCATACTGAATTGAAAAAGAATTGAAAGCCTTTTCTCTAAGGTCTGGACGAAGACAAGGATACCTATTTTTACCACTTTTATTCAACATAATAATGGAAGTCCTGGCCAGAGCAATTAGGCAAGAGAAAGAAATAAAGGGAATCTAAATTGAAAAGGAAAAAGTCATATTAGCCCTGTTCACATATTACATGATCTTTCACTTAGAGAAACCTAAACACTCCACCAAAATACTGCTACAACTTGTAAATGAGTCAGTGAAGTTGCAGGAATCAAAATCAACATAAAAAAACAGTAGTAAATATATATGACAAGAGCAAGTATTATGAAAAATAAATCAAGAAAGCAATCTTGTCAACAAAGAACATAAAATACCTAAGAATCAATCTAACTGAAGAAGTGAAAGATCTATACAAGGAAAACTATGAAACACTAATGGAAGAAGCTAAAGAGGACACATGAAAAGATGTTCTATGTTCATGGATTGGAATAACTAATATTGTTGAAATGGAAGTTCTATGTTGGGAGCCAACATCTATAGCTACATGGCTGAGGCCTGTAAAGGCCCATCTGGAAGATCACCTCTGACATAGGATATCCATTATACCTATAATATTGGCGTGTGATTCGTGACCAGTGTGCATACATGGCAGTAAAACTTATAAGTAAATCTCAATACACCTGATGGAAAGTTGCACAGCAGAATTATTTTGTGTTTCTCTGTCTTTCTAAGCTGTATTTCTTCTTAAGATATTTTTTAACTTCTATTTCCTGGTAGACTGGTTAATCAGCTCTTGTTCCCGAAAGCAGTCTCCCCTAGAGCTAAAATTAGAAACTAAATTACCATAATAGTTTTATCGCCCTGCCTCTAGCCAGGCAGAACGTTTTTTCTAGTTTCGTTAAATACCGAAACTCTGTTTGCTCCAGCCCATGGCCATCGTCATGGCAACCATACATTTCCTTGTTCAAGAGTATGGCAACTACCATAAGATTTATGAAAGAATTAACGATAAGGTATTAGCTTAATAAGATATAGCATAGTATTAAAGTTCAATCATCAGATTATATAAAAATTAAAGTTTAGATATATGAAACTCATATAAGTCATGGTAAGGTTTTGTAGTTCAAGAATAAGTTTTGAATTAATTGTTATAGAATTACAGGGCACTATGTTGAATCATAATAGGTTAATGGAATAAATAAAAATTAAGTCATTTAAGTAAACTTATAGATTATAGTATAGTGTTAGGTTGATAATATTGTTAAAAATATTAGGAGTCAGTAAACTTGGGTTGAACCTAGAGTTAACTTAGAAAGTTTTTGTATTAATCAGGGTTTAGAACAAAGAGTATAATATGAATGATTTATTGAACATTATGGAAAACACTTTGAACAATCTGTATTGAAATTGTGCACCTGTGATTTTAATGTAAGTTTTGTGAAGCACGTCATGCATCATGGAATTATAATTGTTTGCTTGGAACTTGCAAGTCTCGTGATGGTCTTGTGATGCATAGTTTGTAAAGCGCGATATGCATGGAATTTGTACTCCCCCAGCAAGTGATTATCACACTGCTGAAGGATATAGAAAATGGT